AAAAAAAAAAGAAAAAATTCCATAGAAAAAGGCTATCTAATAGGGTAAATCTTGATACAGAAGGCCATGAGAGAGCATAATGCAAGTCCTCAAATCAATAGCCTAATGTGTGCGGGGAGAAGTGGAAGGGAAGGTTCCCTGGTTTGGTTTTGCTGGTTTGGTGGGTTTTCTCAGCAACAGAGATCAGAGGAACTTAACCAGAGCTTCTCACAAAGAGAAGGGTCAGCAGATTAGAAGGGTGTTTTGCATTTCACCTGAAGATCTAAAAATTATACAGTCTGAAAATAAACATTTTGAAGCATGAGACAACAAAAAGGAGATTAATCCAAAATCTTAGCTCTGCTTTTTCACATTTGCATCTCATGCTGTAAAATCCTAATGGAGACAAGACTTACGATCTTTTCTAAATGCAGATAAATCAAAAGAAAACAAAAGCGAAGAATTTCTTTTTATCCTGCAGACAGGTAAAAATAGAGTCTTAGTAAACACGAAACAAGAAAAAGTGCTGTAAGATTCCCTTGGCTGAATCTTCCTGGAAAAAAGGAATCAAATAAACCCATAAACGCTATGACAGGATATAACACAAAGATAGGGAACATGCAACTTCCTACTAAACCTCCTATTCATGAAATTTTACTTCTAGGCAGTAAAACTGGAAGCAAGCTTGAAAGGTATCTAAAGACAAAATAAGATTAAGAAGTACAGGAACTGCTTACTCTTTGCCTACCCAGCTGCCATCAGTTACTTATTCAAAAGAACAAAAAGAGATTTTTCATTGGTTAGCATCAAAATGCCACATTCAGAACAGCCTGGTAGAGTTCACAATTCTTGCTGCATTTGTACTAGATACTTACCAACAAAACACAGTGCAAACTCCTTCAGATCCGAACAAACCACAAGCAGGTGCAGTTATGCTAGCCAAAACATTTTTATCCTTGCATATAATTCTATACAAATCCTACAAAAATACATCCTGGAAAAAAAAAAGCTTTAAACAAATAATAAAAAAACACAAAACCAAAAACAAAACAGCAATCCTCTTACCTTAATTACTTAGACCTGAACACGGTTTGCATATGGATAACAGCATTAGGCCTAGGTTCACTTTAGTCTTTCCTTTAGAAGCAGGATAGATGATGCATCATCATTGGAGTTCTCAGTTTTATAATCAGTGAATATGCGACCTCAAATAAGTATCATACTTATTTAACAATCTTTAACAAACAAAAAGAGGAGGAACGGAGAAGATTTTCTGTCATCATGCTACAGCAAAAATTCATTGACATAGCAGCATATCAAAAATATTTGCCACTGAGCTTTCTGCCATTATCATTATGGGGAACATACGTAGGAGCCCCACTGTTACCACCGCATTTTACAGATCCATATCGTCAACTAAGCAGTAGTTCCTCAGCACTTCAACTTTACTTGTAATCAAGCAAAAATTAGTATTAGAATGCTTGTGATGGTGATGGCAGCTGCCTATAAGACTGTGCTATTTTAAATACGTGAGTTAAAATTCTTCTGCTCAAGCGTAGACAGGGTTAGAGGGAGCAGCAGCATTTTTGCTTGCTATTTCCTGCTGCGAGTTCTAAGCACAGGTTGAACTAAGGGAAGGGGCACTGTGCTCAGAGTCAGAACTGTGAAAGATCATACATGGTGTTGAGGATTTAGAAACATTTCTTCTAAGACACAACAGCAGTTTTCTGGCTGACCACAAAACCCACAGTGACTTAGGCCTTCCTGTAACAAATTAGTCTGTAAGAATGATTACATATGTATACAAAATTAGCAAATATAAAACTGAAATCAGTTGTTCAGGATGCATGAAAACACACCACGCAAGTTGGACCATGCAAAATCTGAACCCGATAACTGAACCATTTTAAACCCTTTCACCAAATACCATTCACAAATGGGAGGAAAACAAGGCGATATAATTAACTTATCCACTGACACTGCAAGTTTTACTTGTACCTACAGTAAAAAAAAAATTTAAAAAAAGCTAAGTATTTCATTTAAATTTAATTTAAACTAGTCTGAAGATAATTACAAATGCACAGTCTGGCTGAACTTCAAGCATTCAGGTTTTAAACATTAATTTACTTTGACTATGTGCATGTCAAAATGAAAGATTGCTGTCTGGATCCAGACATGCAGTATTAATACTGAAAACGTGCACTCATTTCAGGTCAGAAGACATTCCAACTCGACTTCAGCAGGTGGTAGAAATAATGTACTAATTAAAATGTGTATATAAAAAAGATTCACCACGGGTTATCTACTAAAGACTGCTCCTATACAGAAAAAACACTGCAACCTGAGCCCTAGTTATATTCTAGACCACCTGTAAGTCTGAAGAAAACCAAACTTCCCTTCAAGCTAGCCACCAATTATTATGTCCATTTCTGAAAACTTTTCACTTCTCCCAACATGCTTGCAAGGCCACCCATTTTACCCACTTTTGATAGCTGCGTTTTTTGTTTATAGGCAATATCTACTAAACTCTTTAGGTAGTAGATTCACAGTTTTCAATACTAAATAAACTGACTTTCATCACCTAGAAAATGCTTTGGCTAAAGGAATAATGTTTCTTGCACTGGACAGTGCTAGCATGGCATGCAAAAGTCATTTCCTAGCCATGGCACCTCCTTCCTGCTGCTGAACAAGATCCAGTTCTGTAGCCAGGTTATTTGTTTGGAAAAGCTTGCACGTTATAGCAACTGGAACAAAAACTAACTGGGCAGGGAAATACTCAAGAACCCCAAAACAGTCTATTTAAACCACACTCCTCAACAATAAGCACACTTTGTCCCTCAAATGAAATTTGTAATGACATTAAGCGTATTAATAAAGAAAACAGGGATATGAGTCTCAGTTTGTGATCCAGAGACACCTAGTTCCTTTTCTTCTTGCAACTCAGAAGAGCATGCTGACAGGGCGAGAACTCTTGCATTTCTGATAGCAGGAACAGAACCACTGAGTTCATTATTTGTTCACTTGAATGCACTGAACTCTCCCACAGGGAGCATGAAGAAGGTGCCATCTTCAAAACACTCCTTCTCCTGCCTTGGAGACCGCCCGCTCCTCTGCACTCACACTCAGGCTCCATGACGGGAGTTTCGAAATGCTGCCTGGCACTTCTCGTTTGAAGCCACCCTTAGGCCTCTTCCACTCCATTCCCACACAAGATCAGTCAAAGTGATGCACACCCTTCCCAAACATAGAGAATGTTATAACACACATAAAATTTATTACACTTAATGAACACCAAGTGTACCTTTGGTGTAAGTTTGGCTCAGAAGAGCCAGACAAAACAGGATGCCACCTTGATAAAAGGTGCTGCTTTAGAAATCTAAATTAAACTACTATAAATAACAATAACACCTGAGATTAAGCTTCTCCTGGAACAGCTGCTCATCTTCAAACTCCAGTCATTTTTCAGTACCCACAGAAGTGAGTCTTAGCAAATGTAATCCAAAGTAAATAAGCATTTTGCTTCCTTGGAGGCAGTATCTTGTTTTCCTCATGTGTGGCATTATACTGACATAACTTCTCTTCATTGTAAGCAAACTAGGTCAGATAGCTAGAATTCAAGTTTATCCAATCCACTGCAAAGCTAAAAACATATCCAAGCATACTATTTTGTACTTTTTTCCTAGTAACATATAATCTTATCATACACTCATATTTTAAATCATTTTAGTACCTGTTCGGAAATATCCATGGCTAAAAACATTAAAAAATCTAAATATAACAACTTAATAAACATCACACTGAATTTTTGGTAAAAAAAACAGCACATTTATCTTTGTCTGGCACTTATCCTACCAGAATTCAGTCAAAATATCTCCTAATACGCAAGAACACCATCAAGAATATCTTGTTTGTCATATTAGGGAAAGTTTCAATAGAAATACTCTTTTTTATAAGATTCAAAAAGCAGAGAGATGTGAATTTTGTCACCCTACGTTGAAGTCAGTGATGAACGGAGCGCTTTCTTGCTGATCGCGTTCGGAACTCCACACATAGCATCGTCATACGGGACATGGGGCTAGGGCCTCTCCACCAAGGGTTCCTGAAAACTTGTTTTGTTTCCTCTCAGGAAAAAAGGGACGCTGCTCAGTCTGTCAACAGCAGCACTGAACTCTAGTGAATCTCTCCCCTTCTGGACGGGGCACTTCAATAGCAGCTGGCACGAAAGTCAAAGACGTGGCTACCACCTACGATCAGAGGAATGGTCAATTTTGCAGCATCGAAGAAGAAACACTGAAGAGCAGTACAGCTGTCTTAATCTCTCTTTAAAAGACACTATTCTATTTTGAAGAGGGAACTACAAAATATTTGGGAAACAACATTAGAGAAAGTAATAGGTGCCAAAATCAGTACACTCTGTAAAGGCTGAAAACTACAACCTAGGACTTTTTTAAAAAAAAAGGGCGGGAGGGCGGTAAGGACTTCCATTTAAATCCACCTCGCTCATTAGCCTTTTAAACTCTCATTTCAGGAAATAGCTTATTGGAAATACAATTTCCAATGAGTGGCATGTGTGTTTTGAATACTGAAATGTCTCTCAAGCAACTGCGTACAACGTGGTATCAAACACCCCAGGAAGTTTGTCTCTTAAATGACACATTCACATGTTAGTGACACATTAACTAGTTCCACATTTTTAATGCACCAAAGCATATTCTTGACTTAGTTCCTGGTATGTAAAGTAGGTACTGGTCTCTAGGAAGAAAGAAAAATGGTCCAGGTTCTTCTCTGGAAGGAATAGGAACCAACAGATCAGTTCAGACCAAAACCTTTGTTTTCAGTGTTGAACCATGTTCCTGCAGAATCATATTAACCCAGACATAAATAATGAAAAATACATATAAATATCCAGTTGAATCAACTATATGTTACTAATTAATCCTAGAAGCTAATTGCTTCAAACCAAAGGCTGTGAACACCTGCAAGAGTAAAAACAACAAAAATAAAACTATATTAAACTACTTATTTTACATTTCTAACTGAAGCATAACAACTTCAGAATCACTAGATCAATATTCAGGGATGAGCAGTTCTGATCACACCATAGTCATGCATTGCTTTCTAAACTGAGGAAATGTTCACCTAAAACACCAGATTTCTTAAGCTTTCCATTTTTCACGGATTTGAACATCTTGCTTCTGCCATCCAGCCTCACATAACAAATGAACTCGGTTCGGTGCGGCTTCGTGTCTTGGGTATTACATATTGCTATAAACCATTCCCTGCTTCTTTCCAGGTTATAATATCTGTAGGAACAGTTCTTCAACACAAATGAAGTAGTCAAAAACATACTTTTTTCACTGAGGTTTTTCCATAAAGCTTTTTAGCTATAAAAAGCAACAGCCATTATCCAATATATCTTCAGAAACTTCCCATTGGAAAAGTCCTTATGTCAAGATCTGTTAATAAATTTTTGAAAGAATCAACACCAAAAGCTTGAAGTTTCAACTTCAAGTATTTGTGTCTTTTTAAGCCTTTTTTTTTTTTTTAAAAAAAAAAAGAAAGTTACCTTTCACTAGACGGCATTTAGCTACCCTAAAGTGATTTCATATAGTGCCAGCAAGGTGAGTTAAACTTAAAATGTACTGTATACTACAATGCAAGAAAAAAAAAAAACACTAGCACAGGTATAAACAAATACACTAGCAAACAAGATTTAAGTAACTAAATAAAGACTACGTGCTAACTTCCATAAGTAAATCCAAGCAACCATTACGTTAACACAAAACTACATCATTTAGTAACCACATAAATGTTCCGTCTTCCCGCAAACCAGTAAAATGCACCTAACGATGACAAGAAAAAACAAACTCAGGAAAACATGTAGTCCAGTAAAATAAGTGCCACTTTTGCACTGCACAGACCCTTTGGAGATTTTTTTAATGATACATAGCACAAGTTGTAGTGAGTTTTCTTCATTTGATGGAAGAATCTTTGAGAGATGCAAACCTTCTCCAATGAGCGTACCTGAGAGCTGCGAAAATCTGCCTTGACAACAACTCTAAAATGTTTTTAACCAATCCAGCAAGTAAAAACAGATTGCTTAGTATATCGTGCTTCCAGCACACCAGCGCAAACCACTTGCTAACGCTGGATCATTATGGAAAAAAAAATAAAGAAAAAATCTTACCCCGTTCCGACTGGGCACAGAGAGCCCTGGCTGCATCACCCCGCGCGCGTCCTGCTACCATGGCCAGCAGCTTGATTTGGATATGAGCTTTTTCATGAACGAACAATCACCGCGCTTGGAATAACATGGCACTGCCACTCCGAAGCCAGAAGTCTGATTTTTATATAAAGAAAGAAAAAGTTACCACAACTTTAAGCTTTACTAGGCAAGATCCTGAAAAAAAAAGCACTCGCGTAACCAGCACGAGGAAACACAGTTAGTAATAAAATCACATAAATACCTCTGCTCTCAAAAGGCATTCATGCTAGTCCCTGGTTCATTGCCTTTGTGACCATATTTGAACTGACAATGTATGTACTACTTTTAAATAATCTTCCAGGATACTTATGCAAGCCTAATTTATTAATAACGCAGAGGCATTGCATACTAGTGTGGGAAACACTTTTACCTCACTTGCTGCCTCTGAACTTCCGAGTCTTTTTCAGACAATGCAAACTAAGTCTCCGAGCCAAGAGATCAATTGTAGTGAGATCTATTAAGCGACTAAATTGAAAATAAAATTTAATAAAATGCCATTTTTAGCCCAAATGTTAAACTGTTCTCAAAAGCAGAGTCCAATGGCCACAGGGAACGCAGTCACCCAGTGCCATCTAGCGGGGCGTGATCACACCGGCACTCCTGTGCCGCTGCAGTTAACGCATGGAACACAAATTGCTTGTACAGCCCTTACTCAAACGAGTAAATCCAAAGAAACCAGTAGGACAACCCATGCAGGTGCTGCAAGCAAGCCCTAAAGCTGAAGCTTTACAGACTGAATCTGCACTGACTGCTACGATTCCCTTCCCCTTGACCTAAGCTCCAGCCTTGTGAAAAAGGCTGGGGGGAAAAGGGGTTTAAATCACCTTTCGCTTGTACCTTATTTCTTTTGCTATCATGTGCAGTGATGTTAGACCAACAGTAAAAAGCTCTCTATAAAAGTCCTGGAGAAGATAAGTAATACTAAACAGTCTGCCAATGTTCACAGATGCCCTGCATGGCTACTATATCAGGTTTGACACCAAAATTAAATTTTCATTTGACATTTCTCCAAATTGATTTCTTCACTGCATTTAGGGGGCCAATATTTGTTTCCCTGCTTGCCATTACTCTAAAACTGTTCAGACAGGGACACAGTGAGATGCTAAATGGAAGCTGAGTCACCTCTTACAGACTCTGCCCTGTTCATGTTCTGGCCTCTTCCTTTCTCAGTGTTCCTAAAGGACCTGCAAAGATACTTCCAAATATTTGGGCAAATCAAGTCATGGAACTGATCTGGCTCTAAACTAACACGGACAAGAACAAAATAAAACAAATGGTGGCAACCGTCATCATGACCAGCAACACTACCTTCAAGCTAATTAGAAAAAGCAAATTCTTAAAGAGAATGTGAAGTCCTACAAATCAGTGCTATTCAGCTAAGTCATAGGAAGAGGATTCTTGCAGAGAAGCAAGGTACTTTGTTCAAAAGAGTATACAAGTCAAAGTATATTGATGGAAAAATTATGGGAGATGGTTTACAATAAAGCTATTCAAAATGGGTATGGTCCAGGTCCCTAGGTACTTCAGTATTTCCAAGTGTCAGTTATGAAAATTATTCTCTGTTGAGAGAGAATAATGTTTAAGGTCCCAGCTATCCTGGGACTTGAATTTGAAGGTTTCACAAACCACATTTGAGCAGCACATTAAACACACACATACACATCTACTACTACCCATTTATCAGCACTGCACTAGATAAACAGACTTAATGCACTGCAGGGGCGATGTAAATAACTGGAGGGTATCTAGAGGAAAGGAACAAGAGAGGTCAGAGGTCCAGAGAACATGACCTATGAGAAAAGCTTTTAGGAATTACCTCTATTTAGCCTACACAAAAGAATCTCGGCAGAGAAATGATAACAGTGCTCAAATATGTGAAAGGTTGCCATGAAGAAGAAAAGAATCACGTCCCCCATGTCTACGAAAGAAAACAGGCAGCAGCGGCCAGGCTGCGCTGAAAGACTTTGGTTTCGCATTTGGAAACGCGCTGTAACCAGAAGGGCAGTTCATCACCCACAGGAGGTTACGGTTTCTCCCTCTGACAAGCAGTTAAAGCGACGTCAGCCGGTTGTCCAGCCGGGATGGACGGCCCCGCCGCGCAGGTGCCTTTCGGCCTGTGATCGCCAGCAGACAGCAGCGACCCCAGCGAAGGCCGGTCGAGCCCTCCGCACCGAGCTCAGAGCCTCCCCCCTGCAGGTGGCCAGGAAAAACAATCTTAATTAAAATTCCTCTCCCAGCCCTCCTCTGCACGTGTTCCCACCCCAGAAATAGCTGCACTTCCACTAGTTGGGCTGTCCCCAAACAGACGAGCAACATCAAGCTGAGGCGCTGTCATCGAACTTCCCCTGAACTCTCTGAACGGCGGAAGGGGAACGTTGCAGAGTCACCTCCGTTTGAGGGTACTTCTGCCTTGCTCGAGATGAGAATCACTAGCAGCACTGAAGAGCTAGAGCGGGCAGTGAAGCTGTCGGCCACGTACAGAAGACAGTGCTGCCTCTGCTGCACCGAGCTGGGATTCAGAAGATCATGGACAGGCCTAAAGACAATTTGTAAAATACATTAGCTTTCCAGCAAGCCACTTTTGGACAAAAGAACATAAAAGGTAAAGGAAAGCAGTTTGTGGAGAAAACCCTGCCTCTCAAGTTTCCATTATAGATTTTTTTTTAAGAGCACGCATTTGACAAAAACCTTTTTTCCTTTAATTAAAAATTCTAACAAGTTTTTATAATCTGTCGTTAGGCCAGTTATATCAAGGTGACTGTCTCACACACAAACTTTGAGCTTTCTGATTAGAAGACTTCTGAAGAATATCAAATGGATATTCTGCTTTCATCACTGACACTCCTAAGATTCAACCTTGGAAGACGTTGGATGCTCAAATTTCCTACCAGCTGATGATCTGCAGCTTTACTTTTGTAATGCAAGACTAACGTTTACCACTGGTAAGTGAATTTTTCCAAGTACGACAAAGACCACAAGTAAATCCCAACCCATAAACATGCAATAGCATTTCAAAAGTCAACTATCACTTGGGGAATCAATTATAAACAAGCACACTTTTACCCTTACAGCCCAGCCAACAAAAACTGAGGGTCCAGAATGTCTAATAAAATCTGCAGCCAACTGATCTGTCTTCTATTAAATAGCAAGCCAAAAAGGCTCACTTCTCTATACACCAGTGTTTTGTACCAATCAGCAGCAATTCAGTTTTGGCTCGATCGAGTCAGAGTCTATTTATAGTCATCCAAAACAAAGTTTCTGCTCAGCTTCTTTCTGTAAGCAAATTCCAAGGCCGGGGAGCTGACACGAGACAAACATTAGTGTCTTCTGCTTAAAAAGACGAAGCCTCTTGCCCAGCACCAACGCTTCACAATAACCCCAGCTGGTAGCAAAGAAACATGAGGGAGATTCAGAGCCGTGTGTTTCTGCAGACACGGCCTCGCACTGCTGTGGAGGGCTACTCTAAAGGCAGATCAGACAGTTGGGGTTCTCCATGGTCGCCAGGCTGGTCACAGCATCTATTCTACTTCCCACTGATGTCTGCAACGAGCACAAACAAAACAAGTCACACAAACCGGACTGCATGAGAATTAAGGAATTTCCCAAGATGAAACACCTTCTAAAACACAGTTTTATGACACTGTATGATGGAGGCATTGGATAGAACTGACCTTATGACAACAGTAACAATCTAGCTGAATTGCTACCATT